AAAAAAGAGAAATGGTCCCATCCTGGGGGCACTCAACCTTTCACCAAGCTGCACACTTCTTTTTTCTTGGAAATACACTTTCTTCAATAAAAGAAAACTGGCTTGTTTAGAGAATGTGTTATGCTTTGTTATTGGCAAAAACAAAACTGAGGATCAATGGAACAGATTAAAAGATCCAAACACATCTGCAAACATAACCAGCAACCTTATCTTTGACAAAGGGACTAAACATGTTCACTGGAAGAAAGACAGCCTCTTTCCTAAAGTGCCTCCTTAGGCAGCGTGCAGCGGCTTGTGTTCAGTTCCTGTGGTGCCATGCTTTCCCTTCCTCTGGGTGCACTGAGATGGTAGTACATGCCTGAAATCCCAGCACTTGTGAGTCTGAAAACAGGACAATCACTGAAAGTCCATTCTAAGTAGTGAGACCCTGTAGACCCTGTGCACCCTGTCCTAGATACAGAAAAAAAGTCTCTTTAATGAATGATGCCAGCAAAACCCACCACACACTAAATTAGTGCCTAAATGGATTGAAGATTAAAATATTAAAACAGAAACACTAAATCTTTTGGAAGAGAAAATAGGTAGAAATCTGGAAGACACAGGAGAAGGCAGAGAGTTCATGAACAAAACTCCAATTGCATGACAAATGCTAAAAAATTAACAAGTGGGATCTCATCCTTTGAAAAGTGTTTGCATATGCAATGAAATCACCAACACAATAAAGCTAAAATTCAAGAATTAGAGACAAAAATTACCCTAGTGTCTCTCAGACAAAGGACTTCTGTATAAAACATATAAAGAATTTTTTAAAAATCAGGCCCCTAAAATACAAAGATTGCATTTTTAAAAGTGGGCATCTGAAAAGAATACACCCTTCTCACTTGAAATACAAATGACAAAAAATATATGCAATAATTTTCAAAATCATTGATCAGTAGAGAAACGCAAATTATGTCACTGAAATGCCATCTCTCCTCAGAAAAAAATGGCTTTCATCACAAAGACATCCAATAACAATTGTTGAAAGGGTTTGGGGAAAAAGGAACCCTTCTCCATTGTTGGTGGGAGTATAGACTGATGCAACCATCAATGGACATCAGCATTGATAGTCCTCAAAAAAATAGGATCCTTAGTCCTATTCAACCCAGCCATCTCCTCCTGAGAACTTTACCAGAAGAACTGAAGACATCACATCACAGTATATTTGTGCTACTTGTATATAGCAGCTCAATATGTCAGAGGTAATCTTGGAGACAACTCAAATGCCCATGAACTGAAAAATGGATTTAAAAAAAGACATGGTATTTTTATACAAACGTATTACTCAGGCAAAAAAAGATATGCTCAAGACTTTTATAAGTAAATGCATACATGTAAAGACCATGCTCATAAGTGAAATAAATTATATCATGTGTAGACATCATATGGTCTACCTTCTGTAAAGACCTGAAAGAGTAAATAAATCTGAAGGTTCCAATAGATACTACAAAAGGGAAAGTAACTGTTTAAAGAAAAAGAACAACAGGGATGAGGGGGAGGGGAAAAGAAAGAAAATGGAAGACTATATATATATATATATATATATGGGGATGGTAATTTTTGTCTCTAATATATATATGATAGCTTGGATAATTGTACTGCTGATTACTGGTGATTTATTGAAAGAAGCACGTAATTCTTGCAGGTTTTTTCTTTTTTTAAATTTTTTCACCTATTTTGTATGCTTGTAACTGAAAATCTGAACTACTTTGAAGACACCCATTCAAAATGTAATGAACATTGAATTTCTATCATCTTGTTTGGTGAAATTTTGCATCACTTCTTTTGTTTCTAATGATTTCCCCACATTTGTTCTCTTTATAAAATAAAACAATGTATTCTGCTTGACACCTAAAGAGCTAGTTTGCTAGACCTGCTACTTTTTTACTCTGAGTTCCTTTCTGTGGGCCTCAGACAAGTATTGTTGGACAGGATCCCATACAGTGCAGACCTAGCACAGACCATCAACTCCGCCCAAAAATCTAATAATATCTTGGATGAGTTATTGTGCTCATATCACAGCTTGGGACTTTTAACTTCTTCAGAATCATCTTATTTACTTATCCTCATTTTACATTGGGCCATATGAGTTTTTTCCTCATTTCCCACAGTCACTAGAAGAGGGTTTTCTGATGCTTCTTACTGACTATGCCTACTAGAGGACCCATCTTTAAAAGGAATACTCCTTCACAAAACATCACCTCTCACTTTCCCAAGGCTGTCTTTTGTACCTTTGTGGGCTTCAGAAAGTAGCAAGTTTTACTGAGGGAAAACCAGGACTCTGTAGGCTCACTTTTGTCATTCTGGCTTGCCTGGTTAGCTGACTTAGTCAGGCACTTTTCATGTTAGCTGTTATTTATTGTTGTTGTTTTGGGGTGTGTGTGTGTGTGTGTGTGTGTGTGTGTGTCTTTGACACACTATTCAACCCAGTCTGACCTCAACATCCCCAAAATCCTCCTGCCTCAGCATCCTGAGTGTTGCAATAGCAGGCATGTACCCTGTACTATTTTTAAGCCTATAGGTCTCACTGTAGCAAACACTTAGAAGTCTTTGAAGAATGCACTGAGATGGGTGGACAGTTCCTAATAGCTTTCTCATTCTTGTTGCCAGAAATTGTCCACTCTAACGTGTGATGTTGCTTTGCCCTGAACAACTTAACTGAATCATTTATAATTGTACCTGTCCAGAAGATGTCATTCACAATAAGGAAAAGTTATAAATATTCAACCTGAGGAAACATTTATAGAATGGTAGATGTCTGGGCAAAGATTGTAGGTTTGTCATAAACAAACAAGGATTCACCACCTTATCCCATGAATCAGCCAGTGGCATTAGATCCATAGTGAAAGTTAAATTTCAGGTCAACACAGATTTCTTCACTCTGTGTCTGTCAGAATCCTACAGTAAAGGGTGGTCTGATTTTTGGTGGATTCTGCTAATATGACTGTCTGTATTGGAGCTACATGAGCAAGTGCCAAAGATGATACTGAGGAGAGTGCACCATGGAGTAGGACCTTCTACTTCCTCTTAGTTAGTAAATATTTGCAGTTCCTGGTGATTACATCCCTTGAAGGGAGTCAGTATATGTACACAGCACATCTTCATTCTTTGATAATGTGATTTCTGAAAGTACTAATCTCATGCACTCATGGATCTTAGAAACTCAAACAGGCTGGAAATCTGCACAGATTAGGCATTCGGGATGTGGGAAGGAGCTATTAACTACCAGGGAAACAAAGTCAAGAAAAGAT